TCGTGACATAGCTCTGGAGTTCCTTGGGTGAACTGAAATCAAACTTCGCCAGTCCTGATCTAATGGTCGGATAAATAGTAGCTATGATAAAGGACATAATAAAAGTAAAAACTATTTCAGTCACATTCTCAGTTCAAAGAAATTATTATAAAAAATATGGAACTACTATTATAGAGAAAGTTATCATAGATTTGGACAAAGCACCGCGGACACGCTTTTTGTCAAATTTACATTTGTCGTTCAAAGATAACACTGACATGTTATGACTTGAATTAATACAAGACATACTACTGTTGGCAAAGTTAATAGCCTCTGGTGGTGCAGTGTAGTTACTGTGACCCGAAGGTGACTTCAACAAAGGCTCTGTAAAGTTCGACAGACGAAATGAAAGTTACCAACTGCATTTAAACACCTTGTACTAAATTTAGGAAGACATGATGCTTGCAGGGCCTTCCTCATATCGAGGGGTGTAAATAGCTACAATTAAAAATGCCCGAGTAATCTGATAAAATGTTAGAGTTGTAACCAAGATTCACTGCAGTATGGTTCGGTGTACAGCAGCATTACATGCCCCTGACGAGCGTGCAAATCCAAAGTGCTACACGTGCACACCACGCAAACGTAACACGGGTAACACGTAATAATACCTAGTAGAAAAAGTTGAACGTTTCTTGGATCAGGATTACCTTATCCCAAGACGAATATTATTTTTTAACACACACTAAGAAGAAATTTTCTTCTTCCTGCTCTTTTTTTTTTACTTTTCTTTTGCAATTTTATTTCTAGTTCAATGGCGTGTTGTCTCCTTACTACACGACGGCTCGTGGCTGGGTTACCAGGATCTGCCACCCGGGAGAACTGTCTCCATCTAACCGCTGACCGCTGAGTGCCAAAAGAGGAACGTAACTGGTGTCTTAGGCCTCCAATGAGCATAACAGGAGTTGAGTGGAAAATGATAATTCGATAAAGAACTGGAAGTGTTTTTCTATAATTATTTTCTCTCCAAATGTGTATTATTAATTCACCTTCCATCCTTTCTTTCTGAAGTTTCTTGAGAAGTTCGTTTAGTTCAAATTCAATGGTGTGGAAAACAAGGACAGGTGAACTACCTGACAAAAGAAGTAAAAAAGCAAACGGTTTATAACATTAAGCATTATTGATTGATAATAATATATCAGATAAAGTGTTACATCGATGCTTTGTAATTTGCATGTAGGACTTAAATATATAAGTCAGAGCAATGTGCAAAATGTCCACTTGCATTAAATGGTAAACCATCATTCCATTCTATTCCATTATCTGGTACTTTGGCTTCAAGTGTATGAAATTATTTTATTTTTTACATATAAGTCGTCTGAGAAAGAAGAAAACAGCAAATAGTAAACCATTTAGCAGTCCTATATAACAAAGAAAAGAGTTTTCACCTTAAAGTTTGTCACTTAAGAAATCAAGGCTAATGGACGTTAACCAATGCAACCATTTCCTTGCTTCACTTTCCATACTTAGTTTGCCCTGTTCAATATAACCAATATGCATGATTCACTCACCTTCGCTTCTTTGTTTGGTATTTTTTCAA